CGGGTCGGATCGAGTTCGGGTTTAGGGTAAAAAATATCCGACCCGAAAATATATATAATTTTACCTTATATATTTAAGAATAATTACAATAATACCCCTCTATATATATATATTTTTAAATTAAGTCACTGTTTTTATTGAATAAAAATATTTCTTTATTATTTCAGGTCGTGTCGGATTTCTAATTTATATATTTGGGTCGGGTCGGTGAAACTTTATTTTGTTCGGTTCGGGTCAGGTTTTTTAAGTGTGATATTCGGGTCGAGTCGGGTCGGGTTTTTTTAAGTGATATTCGGGTCTGGTTTTTTTAAGTGTGATATTCGGGTCGGGTCGGGTTCGGGTTTAGGGTGAAAAAAACCGAACCGACCCGAAAAATAATATATAATTTTACCTTATATATTTAGGAATAATTACAATAATACCCTTCTATATATATTTTTTTTCAATTAAGTCAATGTTTTTATTGAATAAAAATATTTTTTTATTATTTTGTGTCGTGTCGGGTCGGGTTTCTAATTTGTATATTGAATAAAAATAGTTTTTGGTAAATTTTTTGGTAACTAATTAACATACTCCGATTGGAATGTATCGAAATATTACTCTATCTTTTGGTAACTTATTAACATATTTTGATTGCGATGATTTTAACTTATAATGTTTATTAACATGATTTTTATAATTTATTGAAATGAATAATCAATCAATAAAATGAAAATTTAATATTTTTTAATTTTTTATAATATATTACTACATGTAAGTTGTAAAACAAACTAAAATAAAAGCAAAAAAACAAGAAGGACAATTCTGACATTTTACATTACTGAAATCAAATTCATCTGACATGTTTGCGAACCAAACAGAATATGGAATTTGATTCCAATTCCTGATAGATTTCAATTCCTTCACAGATTCCAATTCTCTTATAAACATTCCAGAACCAAATGCCACCTTATATTACTGGATCTGGATTTTGATTCATGACAGCGGGTTTTATATGGGTTTAGAATGGGTTCGATGGTATATTGTTCATATTCGAAAAAAATTTCAATTGAATATTTTCATTTCAATTTTAAAACAATTAATTATTTATTAGCATAAAATACTAAGTTGGATATATCAAAGAGGACGAAGACGAGTCGTTATATGAAAATTTTAAAATATTATATATTTTATTTTTTAATGATAATTTGTTTTTATTTTTAATATTTTATAAATTTATTCTAAATTTTATAAAATTATCGCATCAATCTCTAATTATAAAATAATATATATTTTAAAATTATCTTAATATAGGAGTAACACACTTTAGATCATAAATTATAGATTCATTAAAAATATTTTTTTGTTTTCCCTTAGAATTTCATCTTTTTCTGTTAAATTTAAAATTATTAAAAAAATGGTAAATTATACAAATGCTCACTAATGTTTGAGTAAATTTTCATTTTCTCTATTAAAGTTTCAAAAGTAATAAATTAGTCACTAACGTTATCGATTTGTAATAAAATGGTCGTTAACGTTATCAAATTATAACAAAATGATCACTCCACTGTTATCTCTGTTAAATTAATGATGGGGCACCGTTAATTAAAATGTTAATATTTAGTTTTACCCCTAAACTATTGCTAAAACATCAAATATGTCCTTAAACAATGATTTTATATCTAATTTATCCAAAAGGTTTTCTAATTTTCAATTTTTTTAAACACCCCACCATCTTAATTATATTCTATTCAATTTCCTTACAAAATGAAACCACACTTAAAACAAACTCTCATTTGTCTTTAAATATTCTAAGCACTTTCCGTACAAATCAAAAATCATCCCAAAAGCATTATTTTTTTACATTAAAATTAATTGAATATATAGATTTAAATACTCATGTATTTGTCTTTAATGGAAAAACTCAATTTATCTAATGTAGTGTGATTTTTGTTTTGTAAGAAAGGTGGTTCGAATATAGTTGTGGTGGTGGGTTGTTAAAAAAAACTATAAATTAGAAAGCTTTTAGGATAAATTAGATATAAAATCATTGTTTAAGGACTTATTTGATGTTTTAGCAATAGTTTTAGGGGTAAAACTAAATATTAACTTTTTTTAGTAACGTTGCCACATCATCAATTTGACAAAGATAACAAAAGTGATCATTTTATTACAAACATAGCGTTAATGACCAACTTATTACTTTTGAAACTTCAGTGGAAAAATAAAAACATAGCGTATTTTATCCCAGAATTGGATCGACGTAATATGAATGCGACCGATTTTTTTTTTTAAATTTGTGTGACATCCTCACTTGGAACAATTTGTTACAGTCGACAAAAATGGTGAATATTAAGGAGCAAGTTACCATATTTTTACATATAATTTGTCATAATGTAAGTGTTGTACCATATTTCGAAGTTTTTCAAATATAATTCAAAGTCCTTAAAGCTTGGAATTGAGCACCAAATGTTTTTCTGGACAAGTAGTACCAATATTGTTCTTACAGTATCGATACCAATTGAACAAGTACTGATAATGTTCATATGGTACTGATACCAAAGGTAAGGGAAGTATCGATACTCACTAGGTAGTACTGATACTACCAGCATTGCTCAAATTCCAGAATGTAAAAATGGTACCGATACCCAAAGGGGTACTGATACCCAAAAGGGTACTGATACTACTCTGTATAGTAGTATCGATACCATAGGCATCGTATCGATACCATCAGGCCCCAACGGCTAGTAACGGCTAGTTGATTTAAAGATAAACAAAGGTAGTACCGATACTCCCTTTATGAGTATCGATACCCCTTGTTCTCGGCAGCTTTATTTTGCACAAAAATTAATCCCCAACGGCTCAAAACCACCTCCAACGGCTAGAAACTACCACAACAACATTCCAACACATAAATACAAGTTGAGGACACTTGAAGAAGGGTTAGAACACCTATCCAAGCAATCAAACACAAGAGAAGAGCTTTTCACTCTTTATTTCAATTTTCTCGTAAATATTTTTTTCTTGTGAAATAAATTTTGTAAACACCTTCCTTTTAGAGGTTTTATTCGTTTACATTCTTTTTCCTTGTAAAGGGTTTTTGGTTCTATCTTAGCCGATTCAAAAGATAGGAAGTTGAAAAGGTTATCTCTTTATCCTTGATAAAGAAATAACAAATTAGTGAATTTGTTAGAAAATCCTTAGTGAGGAGCTAAGGTAGTGGATGTAGACTTGGTTGATAAGTCGAACCACTTTGAATTATTGTGCCTTATTTTTTTTTCTATCTTTTGCTCTCCTTACTCCCTAATCAAATTCAACCAATTAACCCCCTTTGCATTCTTTCGATTATTCAATTTGAGCCTCTTAAAATCCCAACAATAAGATTTCGAGTGATTGGATCAAAATATTATAAATCAATTGAGACAGTTCACTGTTACTTTAAGATTGTATTGAGGGCTATTTTAAAGTTATATAAACTAGCCATTAGTTTACCTAATGAGTCAACTCCTCTCGAAATAAGAAACAATCCAAGATTTTACTCATACTATAGAGATTGCGTAGGAGCATTCGATGGAACTCATATTCGTGTATATGTTCCACTTAACATTCAAGGAAGATTTCAGAGTTGTAAAGGGGGAACGACACCTAATGTATTTGCTGTCATTACTTTTGATTTGAAGTTTATTTATATTCTAGTTGGATGGAAAGGTAGTACACACGATTCTTTTATTTTAACTGATGCACTTATACGTTCAATAAGATTTAGTATTTCAGAAGGTAATAATTAGATTTTGTCATATAGTATTAAGTTCGTTGAGTGTGTTTTTGACGGAGGCATGTGCTTTAGAGAGTTTGACAATAGATGTAAGCGCATCGAAGACAACAACAACAACAACAAAACCCTATTCCCATATGTAATGGGGTAAGGGGGAGGTAGGGTAGTAGGTTGTCCCCAACGCCATGTTGAGAGCAGCTTCCGTGGAAGACTTCCAGCAGTCAGAAAATTAAAAATAAAGATAAAATGAAATGCATGTATAAATAAATAAATGAATAAATAAATACATAGTTGGACACTCTTCATATGCAGTCTTCGTATGCACGTCTGTAATGAGAAGTAATCCCTGAAAATAAATCTCTGCGTAAAAATATCTACATATAGTCAGAAACGTAAGACCCGATTAAATTTAAAAAGATGAAACATGAAGAGCAGGATACACAGAAGTCAACGATAGCAAGCTACGAGAAAAAAATTAAGTCAAAAGGGTTAAAACCTAAATTAAGACAACACTACTTCGCTCTCCTAGTTCTAAGCCTTCATAAATTTCAATGACAAAAAACGTATAAAAAGTAAAGATCATGTAAACTACTACAAAAACAATAAAAGAAGACAGAGATAATACACCCTATAGATGTAAGCGCATCGAAGAGGGATCAGAAATTCATCGCTAGAAAAATACGTGCACTGTCTAAAGTTTCAAACGAATGTCAAATTCTTGTGAAATGTTTAACTTTTAACGTAGGAAGAAAATTATACACTTTTGATAATTTTAGTATTTCAACATGATTTAGTATTATTGTTTTAATATGATGTAATATTAATTATACGTTTTGATAATATTTGTGTTTTCAAAAAAATATTAGTTTTTAACACAATCAACCTAAATTATTCATTTTATCAATATATTTAATTTGACATACTTATAAATATAAAATACTGTTTATATTCAAAAAATTGTAAATTATAATTTTTTAACAATAAATTATTTTTTAATAAATTTAAAAAAGTAAAAATAATTTATAAAATATGTAGATTTTAAAAATTATTTTCAAAAAAATTAATCAAACAACAAAAAATATTTCACATTACAACGTCCAAACAAAAAAATATTTTTAAAAATATTTTCTATATTTTTCTAAAAATATTCAGTAAAACATACAACCCTAGTCGCAACTTGCTTATGATCCATGGTAGTATTAAAGAAATATATACGGATCGAAATCACACGTGACGGGCCTACCACTAACTACCCTGAGTGCCCAGTATACCCAATCTTCGTCTTCCCCAAATCCAGAACAAAGAGTAAAAACCCTAATTCCAAAATTCCAAAATTCCCTCAGTTTGACTGGAATGGATCGATATGAAGATCAAGAGCACGAGGTGTACGGTGGGGAGATCCCTGAGGAGGAGGGAGATATGGATGCGGATGTGGATGTGGACATGTCGGGTGGAGCTGAGGATTACGAAGCCAACGACCAAGATCCTAATTCCAACTCCAAAGTTGCCCCTTTCTTTTACTCTAGCTTTTTCCTAGCTTTACCTTAGCTTTTTCCTCTTAGGGAATAACATATTTTCTTGTTTTTGAAAATTTTAGGACTTGGAAGACATGAAGAGAAGACTTAGGGAGATCGAGGAAGAGGCTGGGGCTTTACGTGAAATGCAGGCTAAAGTTGAGAAGGAGATGGGCTCCGTCCAAGGTTCTTTTATTCTTTTTCCTTTGAGTTTGTATTTGATTTGTTTTATTTCTCTATATTTCTTTTTGATAAGTTTGACTTTGATTGGGATGCACTTTCTTTTTCGTTCGAGAAAGAGAATGTCTTCTTAGTCTTGAAAATGAAATCAAACTTTACTGATTTCTTTTGTTTTTGAATTACGGAGTGTTTTGTGTACGAATTGTTAGTTCTAGTAAACTGATTTGTTTTTACTTCATTTTCCTGGATTTCTTTGAAGATTCCTCAAGTGCTTCTGCAAGTCAAGCTGAAAAGGAGGAAGTGGATTCCCGCTCGATTTATGTTGGTAATGTGAGGTTTATCAACCCTTTATCATGCCTTCTTTCATGAACTTATTTTTAAATGTTTATTTGGTTCAGTTGTCCCATTTACCTCACCTACGATTCTGGCCAACCAGGATACGGGAATGGTTTCCTATTTGGTTTTATGTTTGTGCATATGGGGTAGCTTGAGAATGCTTTTTTATATGCATGCGATTGCATGGACAGTCGTGTGTTAGTTTTGTTCTGATGTCAAGTTAAATGTGATTCAACAAATTTGATCCACGACTACTTACTCGGATCCTAGTTTTCAAAAGAGCGCTTAAGGCGCCGGGCGCAGGTGGGCACGGAGAAAATCGCCTCCCGTGAGGTGGGCACAGCGCACTACCAAAAGTCCTCCCAGGGGCGTTGGGCGTGCGCTTTAAGCGTTTTAGGGATAAGAAAAAGGAAGAAAAGGGAGGAAAATAGGAAGACCCACGATTAAATAGGAAATAGAAGAAGATAGACAGTGAAGAAGAACAGTAGTAGAAGGACGGCAGAAGGACTACAGAGAACGTCAGAAAACTCTCTCATTTATTACATTTTTCTCATTCCCTTAACCTTAACCCTAACACATAGAAGGTTATTAATCACCCAAATCTATAGCTCAACTCTAATGTTTTTCCATTTATAACAAGCCCATAGCTTCTTCCACTGTTTACCTTCTTTTATTCAAAAGTACACTGTTTTTATAATATTTTTATGTTTTTTAATTTTTTTAATTTAATAATATTTTTTTAATAAATTTTATTAAATATAAAAGTTAATTTTTATAATAATTTAAAGTTATATGAAGATTTTAAATTGATAATAAAATTAATCTATATCATTTAAAAATAAATAAAATAATGGTTTAAAATTTTAAAATAATTAGGATAACCCTAAAAATGTGTTGAAATACTTTGAAAACTAGGGTCTTGTGAATTATAGAAACGAGTCTTGATTCTTGAGGGGACAAGCAATGGTGAAAAAAAGATTGTTGAGAGGAGATTAAGTGCTTTAGGAGTGAACCAGTGGGTAATGGGTGTGAATGTACTCTAGAATTAATTTATTAACTTTTTAGCATAAAAAGTGCACCCCGCCTATGAAAGGCACATCTTGCACCTAGGCTCCAAGGACCCTTTGCGCCTCGGTGGGCCTAGTGCCTTTTAAAACTAAGATTCGGATGAAATATCAATATCGTTTGTGTTATAATGTTGTTTTTCTTTAAGCAACTCCTCAAGTGCTTCAGTATATTGTATACAAATTCTATTAACAATCCATCTCAGTGTAGTATAACCAATTGGTTTCTCCATGCTTGCGAAAAACTGATCTGGATATTGGCTAACTCATTTTTTTCTTTCTTTGTATATCTTTGTAACAACAGGTAGACTATGCATGTACACCAGAAGAAGTTCAACAGCATTTTCAATCCTGTGGAACGGTGAACAGAGTTACAATCTTGACTGATAAGTTTGGTCAACCTAAAGGATTTGCTTACGTTGAATTTGTTGAAATTGATGCTGTTCAGAATGCTCTACTGTTAAATGAAACAGAATTGCACGGTCGTCAGTTGAAGGTTTATAGCTTGATATATGTGTGGATATTAAATTCATGAATATAAACTACATGGTAATTAAAGTGTGTTTGGTTTATTCACAGGTCTCTGCAAAGAGAACAAATATTCCTGGAATGAAACAGTATCGAGGAAGGCCCAACCCTTATTTCCGTTCCCGAAGGCCTTTCATGCCTGGTCCTGTTTTCTATCCTCCATATGGCTATGGGTAAGCATGAAATGTGCTTGCTCTGTTTGGTTCCAACAAATGAAAAAGGATATTTTAAATGTTTCTGATTCTCTGCTATTGAGCATATGTTATCTCTGTAATGTTTAAGCTTTTTTTGTCAATCATTCATGGCTTCCAAGTCCAAAGCCCTAGTAAAATAATTTGATTTGCTTGGTATTTGTTACTTCAGATTCATTTACACGATTTTCTAATTTGTCGGCATCATACTTTGTTTACCTATGCTTGATCTAATTGATTGTAATAGTTTCTGCTAGGTTTCCTTGTTATCAAATATATTAACTCACTCGACCTCTTTTTCAGGAGGGTTCCGAGGTTCAGGCGGCCGATGAGATACAGGCCGTATTAAGATGGATCATTAAGCAGCAAATTTGAGAAGACCATCACTATAATGGTCACGTTGTTGTTGTATAATATTGAAGGGCAAAGTTGAAGTACAGCTTCAGTGTGAAAGGGAGGGCCGATCTATTCTCAAATTGTGATGGACCCATTAACTCGAGATTTCCCTATGCTTTACTTCAACGTTGATTAACGAGTGTTGTGAAGTATAATTAAGAACTCCTTGTTGTAGAAACTACGATTTAATCTTCTCAGTTGTTTCCTGTTGCTTTAGTTTTCGAAAGAGATTTACTGTAATACGAGGATTTGTATGGGATTAGCTTTTGTTTTGAGGTTTAAAACGATAATCATCCAACAGCTGGGGTTAGAAAAACATCAATGGCTACGTTGTAAATCAAAATTCCTTTTTATTATTTAAATATTACAAAATGATATCTATAATTTATATATAACTATTAAAATATAAAAAATATAATATATACAAAACAAACATAGCATATCTATGGAACGCTTGAATTTTAGCATCTTATTCATGTACATAAAGAACAAAATCATGTGAATGGGTAGGTGTAAGTAGGGGTGCACAAAAAATCCGAATATCCGAATATCCGAAAAAAATATCCGAAACCGGTTTTGGGAAAAACCGGTTTTTTTTTAACCGGATCGGATTTTTTTAAACCGGTTATTTTAACCGGTTTGGAGAAAAAAAACCTAGACCGGTTTTTTTACCGGATAAAAAACCGGTTTGAAAAAAAACCGGTTAAAAAACCGGTTTTTATCCGAAAAAAAAACCGGTCTGGGTTTAAAAAACTAGCCGTTAATATAGCCGTTTGTGACCGTTTTTGACCGTTTTTTTCTTTAAAAAATTACCATTTTACCACCCTAAACATGTATAAATAGGTTGGGGATGTATTTGGTTGATTACAACTTTCTCAAATCTTATTACACAACACTTAAACATCTCTCAAATCTTAGTTTTGTAATTTTTTATTCATCATGAGTAACACTGCTGAATCTTCCGTCGGGGGAAACCTTGAAGTCGTGAGAGTGATCGAACACACTCGAAACAAAGATATTTGGGATCACTACGATTTATGTGAGATGTCAAATGGCTCGAGGAGGGCGCGTTGTAAACTTTGTCTAAAGTTTCTTGCATCGGAAGGAAACACAACGTTGAAGAACCATTTGACAAAATCATGCAAGGCACTTCGCTCAAGATCGGATCCTAGTCAATCGAATCTTACACCGCAAGGTGGTGTTTTTGTTTACGACAACGAAAAATTACGAGAAGCGTTTACAAAGTTCGTGATTACAAAAGCATTGCCGTTCGACCACTTTGATGATGAAGATTTCACGACAACAATTCAACAACTAATGCAACCACGTTATACTCAAGTAAGTCGTACTACCCTTAGAAGAGATGCTATAAAAATGTGGCGTACGGCGAGGGAAAAAATGATTTTAGGATTCCAAGAACACCGTTATGGTGTGTCGCTTACATGTGACGTTTGGAGTTCCCCTCATAATACCGGAAATTCTTTTTTAGCCGTTACGTCACATTGGTTAGATCAAGATAATTGGCAAATGATGAAAAGAACAATCGCGTTTGAATTATTCGGTGAGCCGCATACCGGTGCTAATTTATTTACACTTTTAAAACGGGTAATTTGTCTTTATAAATTAGAAAATAAAGTTTTTTCTATATCTTTTGATAATGCATCGAATAATACAAACGCGATTCCAAGATTGAAAATATTACTTTCACCGATTTTAGACGGTGCGTTTTTTCATACCCGTTGCGTTGCACACATAATTAATTTATCCGTGCAAGCCGGTTTGGAGGTTATTGAGCCAATTAGATTAGAATTTAAAACAATGATAAAATCGATTCTTTGTAACAACAACAAAAGACTAAATGATTATAAACGATTTTGTAAGTCTGTTAATAAAAAAGCTTTGGGTCCTAATTTGGATTGTCCAACTCGTTGGAACTCAACTTGGATGATGATGCATACTGCCTTAAGGCAAAGGGAAACATTGCAAACATTTCACGATCGGCTTTTCGAGAGGGGTCATGTCCCAGACATTTATCCGGATTCGAGTTGGGAAACTATAGCCAAAATAACCGATTTGCTTGAGGTTTTTAAAAATGCAACAACTTTTTATCCGGTGTTTATTACCCTACTAGCCCGTTGGTTCTTAATCAAATATTTTTGTTGGCTACCCGACTAAATGACTTTGAATTTGAAACCGAAGTTTTTCAAGAAATTGGCTTTGCAATGAAGGAAAAACTTTTAAAATATTTTAAGGAGATTCCCCCCATTTTACTTGTGCCGCCGCTTTAAACCCAACGTTAAATGTTGGTGGGGTTGAAACACTAATTGAACAAATTGCGTTTGCTTTTAATCTAACCGATGATGAACCCAACTTTGTCCAAAACCAAATAAATTATTTTAACAAATGTTTTCGAGACATGTTTGCAATTTATTTAAATAAATACGGATCAAGTAGTGTAATACACGATCAAATGAGAATGAATGCGGAATCATCTAGTAGACGTCCAAGTAACATAAATTTGAATCTTTTTAACACTCTTGTAAATTCCCAATCCAAACGATCACGTACTACCACCCCAAGTAGCGAGTTGGGAAATTATATGTCATGCGATTTTCTATCAAAAATGACATTTGAAGAGTTTGAAAGTTTGGATATTTTGGCTTGGTGGAAAGAAAAGGAAGCACAATTTCCGATTCTAGCCGCCATGGCCCGTGATTTACTAACCGTCCAAGCTTCTACGGTAGCTTCGGAATCCGCTTTTTCTGTTAGTGGCAGGGTTATATCGCAACGGAGATCAAGACTAAGTCCCGAGTCGGTGGAAGTATGCATTTGTTTAAAGGATTATTTGGATGGAGCGGCTCGTAAGCAACATATCACCACCCTAGAAGATGCAATTGATGCCGATTTGGAAGCAAACTTACACATTGAAGAAGTCGAACTTGGAATATCTCCTCCAAACGAAGAAGGCGAAGATGATGAAGAAGAGATGGCAATGTAGTTTATTTTATAACTTTAAACTTGAAGTTTTTAAGTATTTGAATTTATCGAACTTGGAAGTTTTTAAGTATTTGAATTTATCAAACTTGGAAGTATTTAAGTATTTCAATTATGTTGAGTTAATTAAGTATTTCAATTAATTATTTGAATTTATCGAACTTGAGGTTTGATGCTTTATCTTTGATTATCTTTTGATTCTAGTTGCTTGATGTGTCTTGTCTTTGATCAATGACTTCTACGCTTGCTTAAATACACCTTGAATCACTTCTGAACGTTAGTGATAATTAATGAAGATAATATAGCGAATCGGTTCCCTAAGTGTAAAATTCAAATATTTCGACCGTTGAATAGGGGGGAATCGGTACCCCTATGGGGGAATCGGTTCCCTCCGAGCATTCTGGAAATCTCGGAGCCAAACCATTCAGTGAGGAATCGGTACCCCCTTGGGGGGAATCGGTTCCCTATGAGCAATCTAGAATATTAAAATCGGTTTTTTTATAACCGGTTTTTTAAAAAAACCGGTTTTTTTAAAACCGAAACCGGTTACACCGGTTAGGATATCCGGCCCTCCAAACCGGTTAGAAACCGAACCGGTTATTTTATAAACCGGTTTTTTTTCTATGGGAAAAAACCGGATCGGATAAAAACCGATCCGGATCGGATTGAAATCCGAATTATGTGCAACCCTAGGTGTAAGCTACAACAGATGGGGTGTGAAGTCTGAAGTCCGTTCATTTACGTGGGCCCAATTACATGATACGTGAAAGAAGCAGCAGAACAAAAGTGGGTTTTGGCCTTTCTTCTCAATCCATGGTAATAATGCTTTATTCACGTAGATGAAGGTGGTTAAATTTGGGAGGAGCTACTAATTCTATTCCTTAATATTCTTTGATTTTCCTCCGCTCAATCCATGCCTTATAACCTCTCTCTCTCTCTCTCTCTGAAACATTCCCGAAATGTATGATATGCCCCTTCTCTTCCTCTAAAAGAAACAGTCTTGTGTCCATCAACTTATTTCTCTTACACTTCCTTGTTTCAAGGCTCATACTGTTGTTTCCCTTCATCTCTTGATCATTCCCGTTTCTGGGTATCTTTGCTTCTTTGAGGTTTCAATAGGTAGCCATGAATGCTCTAGCCGGAACTAGCCGCAATTTCCGCCTGGCGTCTCGTTTACTTGGATTAGACTCTAAGCTTGAGAAGTCTCTTCTCATCCCTTTTAGAGAGATCAAGGTATTCTTTAAAAATCTCTTCTTTCCTTTTTTCATTTAGTTGTTTAACCTTTTGATCTTGGAATGGTTATGTTCTTATCGGTGTTTCTTTATGATCAGGTGGAATGCACGATTCCCAAGGACGATGGAACCTTGGTGTCGTACGTTGGATTCAGAATACAGCATGATAATGCTCGTGGTCCCATGAAAGGAGGGATCAGATATCATCCCGAGGTTAGCTTTTCTTTTAATTTCTGTTACAACTCTTTTGGTAGATCTCCTATAATAATGGAAAAGCTAACTCTTGTCTATAATTAAAATTTCGATGTGTGATTTTTCACTATGCATATATTGTTTTGATCCTACATCAAAACCGATGTTTGTTAATTTCGTTTGAAGGTTGACCCTGATGAAGTGAATGCACTGGCTCAACTAATGACCTGGAAGACTGCGGTAGCCGACATTCCCTACGGCGGTGCAAAAGGCGGCATAGGATGTTCTCCTAGGGAATTATCTAAGAGCGAATTGGAACGTCTAACTCGTGTCTTCACTCAAAAGATCCATGATCTCATTGGTATACATACAGATGTTCCTGCACCAGACATGGGGACTAATGCACAGGTTATAATGTCCTGTTTTTCATTAACTTCCTTGTTTTCAGTTCATTTAGTTTACTTTCATAAGTTTATATGTATGTTAAGAATAGTCTTGTGTAGACTATGGCATGGATTTTGGACGAGTACTCTAAGTTTCATGGACACTCACCAGCCGTTGTTACGGGAAAGCCGTTAGTAAGTGCCGAAGACTGAAATTCTAAGCTTGTGGTATGTTGATAAAGATATCGATGATTGGATGGAACAAAAAAATTTACTCGTTCTTATATCGGGAATTTTAGGATCTTGGTGGTTCGCTAGGCAGGGAATCTGCAACAGGGCGTGGTGTTGTATATGCAAGTGAAGCTTTACTCGCTGAATATTGGAAGGCGATTAAGGGTTTGACGTTTGTAATTCAGGTTGAACATAGATGGTTAAAATGCCCTTTCCATTTGGATGCTCCCAAACTTTTGTTAATGCTTATATTATTGGTTTGCTTACAGGGTTTCGGTAATGTTGGGTCTTGGGTAGCAAGGCTCATACATGAGAGGGGTGGTAAGGTTATTGCCGTAAGCGATGTCACGGGTGCTGTTAAGAATCCAAGTGGAATCAATATACCTGAGCTGCTAAAGCATAAAGAAGCTACTGGAAGTTTGAAAGGCTTCAGTGGTGGAGATTCCTTGGATCAAAATGAACTGCTCGTACATGAATGTGATGTTCTCATCCCATGTGCTTTAGGTGGAGTTCTAAACAAGTAAGGATCCTTTGCCAAGCATCTTGTTCCTCACATTTATGTTATGTTACCATTTCCGGCTCGTTTATTCTATTTTCATTTCATCGAAAACGCTGTGGGGCAAAGCTTTCTTTATTCTGTTCAGAAATTTATCGGGTTGAAACACTACGATGCACTTGTGCTTATTTAGGTTAATATATGCAGTTATCATCATGCTTGAACTTGTGCTTACTTAGTTTAACGACTCTGCAAATCTCCACTTAGAAGGTTCTACTATTGAAGTAAATTTTCGACAAGTCAAACAAACACCTGCCTCTTTTGAACTCTTTTGGATCATCTTATATTCTCATAAATTACTTCTATTAGGGATTGTGTTTGTGTTGGACATTGACTCGTCATGTTCTCCTTTAAAGGGAAAATGCTGCAGATGTGAAGGCAAAGTTCATAATAGAGGCTGCAAACCATCCTACTGACCCAGAAGCAGATGAGGTATATGTTTGCCCTTTCTTTTCTGCTTCTAAAGATCGAAGCAAAATTCTGACCCGAGACTCCGTTACTGCAGATTCTATCGAAGAAAGGAGTAATAATGCTGCCAGACATATATGCCAATGCAGGAGGGGTGACTGTCAGCTACTTTGAGTGGGTTCAGGTAATAGATCTTTGAAAATTTTGGAAAGAAAAACTCTGTTTGCCATGCATCTTCATCTGTATGGGATAGGACTCTCGAGTATGGTTCCAAGGGAAAGACTTGATCATCCTATTCCGAACTGGGGAGAACAATTCCAGGGGGTCGATCTAACTTGATACCATAACATGTTATTAATTATGCATTCGATTTGGCAGAACATTCAAGGGTTCATGTGGGATGAAGATAAAGTGAACAAGGAGCTGAGGAGGTACATGACTCAAGCTTTCCATAACATAAAAACCATGTGCCGGACTCACCATTGCAATCTCCGGATGGGAGCCTTTACGCTCGGCGTTAACCGTGTTGCGCGTGCAACTCTCCTAAGAGGTTGGGAAGCATAATAATAAAATGGCTTTCTTCCCCTGTTTCGATTTCTAGTCTCCATTGAAAAGCTTAAACATTTAAGCTTTGAAGCTCTTAGCTTTCCCCCCTTGCCAAAGTTTTCATCTCTTAATTTGATCAAAACTACTTTTCTAATTATTGGGGGCACTGTAAGCTTTTCATGTTTTATCAACTTTGTATTGGAATAATGCATTTTGAATGAAATAATTTAAATTATGGAAGTTCTTTCGATCCATACATACATGCATTCATGCGTACATATATATTTATATTTTCTTTGAATGGTGGCCACCATTGATTTAACTCAGTGATCCACTTTAAGAAATTCCACGACAAGATCATGTTGGCCAGACTGTAAGCAGAAAACCCTCAACTACAATTGCACAAAATTATGGGAAATTGTGGTTAACAATGACTAAACGAAGAGAAATGAGATTTGGAATGTTTTTACAGCACATTGACAGAAAAGTAAAGAAACCCAAATGGAATTTTGACATCCATGTTTGAAATCAGTGTGCTCGAGCCAACATCTTCTTCTGGGGTCTGGGTCTTATCTGTAATCCATCATAGACAGGAGGGATGCAAGATTCTATGTTAGGAGGCAAACTTCTAAAGTTTCAAAAAGGGACGAACTTAAAAAAAAATAGAGGACAAAAACAGGCTATCAACAGAAGATACATACAAAAATCTAAAATATAAATAATTTGAAAAATTCATTCCCTCGATTCATCCCTGACCTTAAGAGCAATGGCTTAAACTGCAAGGTGGTGGTGATGGGTGGATTCATCTTCATTTAGACAACAATGGATCTTCAAGGACCTCTCGATGGTTGAAGAAGGTTGAGGAAGATGTTGTAGAGGGGGTTGAATTTGCATCCACATTTCTCTCTGGAGAAAAGTACAGTAGGCGTGGAAGGTTGTTGGTGCCACATTCAATTGGAACCCCAAACAAAATAAGAAATCCAATTCAAGAATGTTCATCTCTGCTGTGCTGATCCCTCCCACTTTGGCATAGTAGGCATTGTTGTGATACCTGGAAAAAAAAAACATGAAATGAGTTGAGGGTCTTAACCCAATAATGAAAATCTTACAGCCATGTGAGAAAACACATCATCTCTTCCATGGTTGATAGAGACAACACCAGCTCGTCTAAGGTAAGGTTGTCTGGTCAGAAACAATGTGTTTTCTCACATGGCTGTAAGATTTTTCGTATTTTTCCTTTTTGGCTGTACTAGTATGGTAAAACAGTACTATCCCTGCTTGATTTATATCTTGAAGGTAATATCAGCGAAAATAAACAAAATACTCCAATCGAGCATTGGAATTCAGATGAATTCTGAACTTGAAATTTGAAAGATCATGACACATTGAAAATGCTTCATCTGCAAACAAGAATCTAAGAGAACTTAAAATGAAACCCAGACCAAATCAAGGAGAGAAGAGAAAATAAAAAACCCAGAAAGTTATTTCACAGGAATCATAAACTTATATGTCATCCATGAATTTAGAAGAAACCAAAACACTGGTGACGAGCAGCCTATGTACGTTGTAAGGCAAAGACCGCTTCATCCGGTCGAGATAAACATAGGCAACCACGAAACACGAGGAGCTACAATTGGCGTACTTAAAGATCCTCTCCAGATACCTTCCGATGGAAATAGTAGGCCTCGTGAGGGCATGAAAAACCGACACCTTCTCCGACGACTGAAACAACCGGCGATCATCATTGTACTCCGCTACTCTTTCCAACAAAGAAGACAAGAAACCTATGACCCTGGGAACAGTTTCAAGGCCGAGCTCGGTCTCCGTTTCCGACATTGTTTTGTCTGTCGAGTTTGGTTAGCTTAGCTGTGTCTTATAAGACACGGCTTCGGTGTAGGTTGGTTCTTTTGCTTGGTTTCATAGCTCTTCCAGCAGGCCATCTACGCTTAAATAGTACCAGCACGTTTATCAGTCACTTGGGGTCCATCATGAGTTGGAACTAATTCACATGTTTGTCTGTTGCTTTCCATTCTCCGTGTAATGCTTATTAAGGTCTTAGGGCATTTATGGTGGGAAAAACTTGACTCGTTAGGAGTTGGTTTAAGAGTTGGGTTATTTATTAGGATCATATTGGTTAACCACCAATATTGTCTTCTCCCATTTCCTTGTAACAAGAATTAATAAAATCAAATACGTAAATAAGAGCAAGTAGAACACAAGTAAAACATTGTTATAATACAAGCAATCAAAGTTTCGTAAATCGTAATGCAATAAGCCAAACTAGTGATTGGAGGCAATTTCAGCAAGACTGTATGAATCGTGATTTCTAAGAAATACTTTGATCAATTAGTTTTATCTATATACAAGCTGTACACGTGCCGTTATCGTCAACAGAAAATTTCTTTCTACTATAAAGGATGATGATTGAGAACCAGTAAGAATCGGGACAGGACACTACTTTAGCGGTGGATCCACACCTTGGCGAGGGCAGACACGTATCCATCTTGAAATCTAGATTTTTTTATTAGTTATTTATTTACTGATAGCATCTACTATGAATTTTTAGATTTGTACTAAACTTTACGCTGTTAATATATGTCTCCATCTTAAAAATATTTCTGGATCCACCGGTAGGGGACTGGCTACGCTGAAGACAGCTGCAGTTACAGCCTGTGCTTCATTCATACTTTACACGTTAGTTGTATTACGGTGTTTGCATGTTCTCTGAGTTTAAAATAGTATCCAATATTCAATCAAGTAGGATTAAAAAAATTGAGTTACTGGAATTAATCAGTCTTATTCTATGATTTAATTTTATTTGAAATTTTTAAATTGAATTTATAAAAGTTTGACTTATAAAAATTTGAATCGAGTCAAATTTTAAAATTAGTCTAATTTAATAATTTTCTCCAACTATTATATATATATTCATAATTTTTTCATATAATAAAAAAATAAATTGAATAAAATACAAAGTTGATTTACTAAATTGTAAAAAGAATAAATTAATTGTTAAAAATAAAAAATTAGCTTACATAGACATTCCATAGTGTTATATGAGATTCAAATTTGGTCAAAAATGAATTTAAAATAATTAAGTATAGGAGAAATTAAGGGTGAATATTCAAGTTGGTCAAGTTGATTCGAATTAAAAAAATCTCGAGTTAATCAAGTTGACGAATTATATTTCATCATTCAAATTTTATTTGAAAATTTCATAATCAAGTAAAATTTATTAATCGAATTGAATCGAGTTTTATTCTCTACAGTTTAAACACAATATCCTCCGACTTTAAATATACAAAAAACCAGACACAAGGGTTTCCAAAAGTATTATCACGTGACAGGAATAAGCAGACGCCTATAAACAATCATAAACTCAGAAATCCATATATAAATGTGGCAACTTAGCCATAGCATCGGATCGGATCGTTGCAACCTTTCTCTGCAGATTGTTTAAAACCAAAACGACCTCCTTTCGCAAGGTACTGTTGGTGATATTTCTCTGCTCTATAGAACTTCTTTGCTGGCAGAATCTCAGTAACAATCTTTCGGTTCAAGAGTTTCTGGTGTTTTTCCATGGACTCCAGCGCCGTAGTCTCCTGCTCCGGAGTGTAATAGTATATACCAGATCTGTATTGTGTCCCAACATCATTCCCCTGCCAACGGAATCGGACATATTAGAATGAGAAGCAAGTGGTGCAGGGGGCGAATACAATTATACCAACATGAAGAAAAGATTACCCTACATGAGATCTATTGCTCTGAGAAAAATGACATGATCATAGGATGAAATATTCATCTACGACGGTGCATGATATGGTGATACACCATTTTTCTTCACAAGAAAACAAATGAGACGATACCACTGATGGTATGAAAGAGTTGCCATGAAACTAATCATGGCGGACTAAAGCAACAGTATACAGTAATAATCAAGGCATCATGTGTAGATAGATGGTAAACAGAGTTAGATTTACCGTTAATAACTAAGTAGTTTAGATATCCTATAACTCTTATCTCTAAGTAATTTAGATATTCTATATCTCTTATCTCTTAATAGGATAGAAATTTATCTAGAGTAATTTGACTTGTATTGTAACCCTATGTATTTGGTCTATTTAAAGGAGACTTGTACCTCTATTTTTTCAATAGGAAAATTATCACAGAGAATCAACTTGATCTCTGTCACAAACACTTAGTTTCTACATCATGAGTATAATTCCATAACATCTGATATTTCATAGTTATGCCCTAACAAGTTCCTTGTGACTCGGAGATAATGACCATAACTTACTTAGAAAACAGGATCTCAACTTCCCAACTTTCAATTACAGAAATTACTGATTTATATGGGGGAAAATGAACTTTATGCAGAGTGAGACATCCTGCTATCAAACACACAAACTTCCAAGCAAACAGGGATGGATCCAAGGGCTGCAGGTGGGGGCAGTCACCTCCAAAATTTCAAATTATCATAATATATTTAGAAATTTTTTTTCTATTTTCTATTGATAATATGTTTTCACTACTAAAATTTTATAATTTGCCCCGACATGCAATCATGCGTCCGTAATGTCCTAGCTTTGGAGAAGATACCACAAAATATCGGCTTTAAACTTCAAGTAATAAAAAAAACACATATTATCATCTAGAATTGAATTCAATCAAGCACATCTGTTATCTAGAATTGAATTCAATCAAGCACATCTATTATCATCTAGAATTCAACCAAGCACATCTATTAATCTAGAATTCAATTCAACCAAGCACGGAAACCCCCAAAAATCACCTCAAAATGATCACTATAATAAGATAATTCAAAGATTGCAGCAGTCAAGCTCAAAATCTACTTCCAAAATGAAAATTCACAAGCTTGAAGTACTTAAAAGTTCAATCTCTAAAGACCAAAAATTTTCCACATCATGAGAAAACCCACCTGGCGATTGAGAGTTGTAGGATCATGTCGAGCCCAAAAGACATCAAGCAAAGTATCAAAGCTGCACTTTAGGGTCATACTGAAGCCTCACAACTTCATTATGGTTGGTAGTCCCAGAACACGTCCTCATAACTCGGACTATCCATGAACCCTTGGGTACCCGACCTCCGTTTTGGTCACACCGGAACCCTCGGAACTCCAATTCAACGCCCCAGAAACACCCAGCACCGAACTGAGCAAAACTGCTGCCCGGGAGCAGGGACGTCGTCATCTGGACCTTGAGCGATGGCGGAGTTTTGCACTGATGGGTTGGTCTTGCTGTTGGCTGCGAAGCCGAAGCTTTGGATGTTCATGGGGGGCCCGTGAGTGATACGGAACGTTTGGTTTGAGGGAAAGGGAGAGAAAGGGGAGGGAAGGGAGGGAGAGTATGGGAGAGGGAGAAAAGAAAGATTTAGAGATGATGGAATTGGTAGAAGTGGCAAGCGTAAGGCTTCGAAGCATTGTTTTTCTAAGCTTTTGAGATGGGGCTTTAGAATTGGAGAAACGACAATGGTGACGATAATTTCACTATTTGTTGGGATTCTTTCCATTTTCTGAAGATATTTTTTCGGATATTTTTTTTATTATGTGGTTTTTGTGATCTTGTTTTTTTCACCCCAACAATTCAATAGCGATGGGCGTAAATAAATTAGATATTTTTTTATTAAAAATCATTTAATTATAATTATATATATTATATATATATATCTAATCAGTAATATTTTAAATATTAACCACTCAAGGAGCCTTTTAAGCTCATCACAATTAGTTAATAAGTTTTATTTTGTAATTTAAATTTTATTATTTATTTAGTTAATTGCATCATATATTTTTAAACTATGACCCTAATTTTAAATTAGTCTTTAAAATTTTAAACATTCTAATTTCATCCCAAAACTATGAATCTCATTCTAAATTAGTCCTTAAACTCTTGAACATTCTAATTCATCCACAAACTATGAATATCATTTTAAATTGGTCCTAAAAATTTGCATCTTCCAATTTTATCCCCAAATTCATCCAAATATGTAATCCATTTCAACCATAGTTTAACCTAGTTTCTAAAAAATTATAATATAACTCAGATTAATGATTTTTTAACAATGCATGTGTTTGGTATATATGAATAATTTAGGGTTAAATTGAAATGTTCAAAAGGTTTGGGGACCAATTTAGAATGAAGAGCACAGTTTGAGGATGAAAATGGAATGTTAAAAGTTTGAGGATAAATTTAGAATGATAGTCATAGTTTAGGGATCAATTTGAACTATTTAAAAGTTTAGTGACCAATTTAAAATAAGGGTCATAGATTGGGGACGTATGATGCAATTAATTATTATTTTTTTTAAGTAGAGTTGATTTTATGAAATTGGAGTCAAGTCGAATTGTTTGAGTTTTGTTTAAATTTAATTGTAAAAATTTATAATGAATACAACCACCTTGCTGCAGCAGCTGGTGCTCGAATCTATAACCTCTAGAAACAACAACAATTCCTTTAATAACCAAAGTAAGTTAGTTTATGCCAAAAATTTATAATATTAATATACTAGTTGATTCCAATTTAAATAGTTTTTTTATAATTATAGATGATATATATATATATATATATATATATATATATATATATATATATATATATCTATATATATTATTATATTTTTTTTATATGTGATATACATATCATACAGAGTTAAAAGAATCGACTCTTATTTGAAAACCAACCAATTAATTATTAAAAATTTTGGGTTATTCTAGTTATATTTCATAACTCGAATCAAATTTAAATTTCTTTTGAATAAGATGAAATTTATGAATTTTTTAATCAAAACAAATCAAATAAAAATTCAATTTTTTTTTTCAATTTACGGCTTAATTAGAAAACAAGTGTCCAAACTATACCGCTTTTCCCAAATAGTTGCCCAAACATTTTAC